GTGACAGTCACAGGTGGCACCTCTGCTGCCCCAGCTCAGAGGCAGGGGCCCTGCTGGACGGGCTGAGGGGCCGGGCGGCGGCCAGAGGCGGAGAGGCAGCCGTCCGCACCCCGGTTCGTTCCAGATCCATCCCAGGAGGCCGAGGCCTGCACAGGGTCCTGACCTCACAGGGGCCTGGCCTCCTGGATCGGCAGGTCCCTGGGAAACGCACACACCTGGGAGCGTTTACTTATTAACCCCGTAGGACGCGGGGAGCACGGGGCGGGTCCGCCCGCGTTTCGGATAAACAGCAGCTCCATTTCGCGCTGCACATCTCCCAAGGGTGGCAGGAGGAAGACAGTCAAAAGCGAGCCGCCTGAATTCCCACGGAGCCGGGCGCCCTGCGCCTCAGCAGACCCCGGCGGTGGGGGGAGGCTGCACAGAGCGGAGGGAGCAGCAGCACAGCCAGCTGGGGAGGGCGGGTAAGGCCACCTGTGAGCCAACTATGTCTGGGGGAGGGGGGCGACCTCAAGCTATAAAAACAGGTCGATAGGGTTCAATGACTCTCGGAGCGTGTTTGGTCTCACTGACCCTGCCAAGGTCCCAGTTAACGAGGAAAAGGAGAACGATGGCAGGAAGCCCTGGCCGGTGCGCCCAGTGGTTAGAGCAGGGGTGGGCAAACGTTTTGACTCGAGGGCCACAATGGGTTCTTAAACTGGACCGGAGGGCCGGAACAAAAGCATGGATGGAGTGTTTGTGTGAACTAATATAAATTCAAAGTAAACATCATTACATAAAAGGGTACGGTCTTTTTTTTTTTTTAGTTTTATTCATTTCAAACGGGCCGGATCCGGCCCGCGGGCCGGAGTTTGCCCACGGCTGGGTTAGAGCGTCAGCCTGCGGACCAAAGGGTCTCACGCTCGATTCCGGGTCAAGGGCTCGGACCTCGGTTGCAGGTTCGACCCCCAGTCCCAGTCGGGCATGTGCAGGAGGCAACCAATTATGTGTCTCTCTCACATCAACGCTTCTCTCTCTAGCTCTCCCTTTCCTCCCTCCCTCCCACTCTCTCTAAAGATCAATGAAAAAAATAACCTCATGAGAATTAGAAAAATACTAAGTAAATAAAATAATGGCAGGAAATGGAAGTTTAAAAAAGACTCCGAAGGGGGCTGCGAAGGTGCCCGAAGAAACAAGTCTCAAAGCGGCCCTCGCAGCCCGGATGCGTCTGATGGACGGACAGCCGGATCGACGTCCCTGCTCGGGGCCCTCCAGCCACAGCGCAAAGAGGAAACGGCCTGAGACGGACACAATACAGACAGCCACGTCCAGCCGCATGGCTCAGGGGTGGAGCGTCGACCTATGAACCAGCAGGTCAGCGTTCGATTCCCGGTCAGGGCACATGCCCTGCTTGCAGCCGATGGATGAGTCTCTCTCCTCATTGATGTTTCTCTCTCCCTCCCTCTCTCTTCCTCCCTGAGATCAATAAAACAAAAAAGACACCCCAACATCTCCTGGCGGAAGCCGGCTTCACCAGGTTAGAGCTGCAAGGCCTACACAATCCGCTTCTAAGAAAGCGGAGGCTTCGTGGGCTCTGGTTTGTAATATTTTAAAAATCGCTTTATTCACGAGGAATCGCAAATAGACGCCCGAGGTGCTTGGGAGCAAGAGGCGGTGACGCCCTCTTATCCTGTGCACTCAAATGTACAAGACTCACGCTCCCCCAAGCAGCCAGGACTGAGGGGCCCGCACGGAGCTCTGTACGGCACCAACACTCGGGTCAAGGTCAAGGTCAAGGTCAAGGCCGGGGACTGAGCGCAGCCTGCGGGAACCCACGGAACCGGAACTGAATACTCGGTTCTGTCCACTGGAGCAGAGGTACGGAGAACGCGGGGCTGACGCAGGTTCGGGGTGCAGGGGGCGTGTTTCGGGGAAGAGTGGCAGGTGGGAAGGTCACGGGAAAGCACACCAGGTCGCATCTCCGCCCAGCGGCCTTAAGCATCCACTGAGAGGCGCCTGCTGACAGGGGGTGGGGCCGCGGCTGAGAGGCCTCTCGGGTTAAACACTCCAGCACTGCGGGGACCCCCCCGCTCCCCCCGCCGTGACGGAGGCTGTGACAAAGGGCTGCTAACCGGTGGCTGAATGAATATCCCATCTCCCCCGGCCCTCCCTTCTCCCTCTTCAATAAAAGATGGCGGGGTAACATTTCAAATCCACACACACCCC